CCTTCAGAATAAGAGCACATCTGCCCTGAGAATTCTGATTGCTAATGAACCCGCTACACAGTAATAATTCTTGCTCCGCTGGGGGAAAAACACAGCTTTTTCCTTTCCTTCCATTCTTACTTATCCAGCATCGATTAACAAGGCTGCCTTTTATATCGCGCGGATGCGCACGAGCCTCGCTTGTCAAGCTTGGCTTGAATTAGCGGAGATTAAATACACCTGAATTTTGTTCGTGGAACTCAATGAGCCTGAAGTGAACTGTTAGGCTAACTCAAGCGAGGCTATTACAAATAATCCTCGATTTTATAAGCTCGCTTCGTGGAACAGCCCCCATGTACTTTAACTTATACTAGGGAAACAAATATGTTTCTAATATGATGACATCATGTACTTTACAGGGTTCCCGCGGGGTCTTAAAAAGTCAAAAATTTAGAAAGTTAAATTTAAGGCCTTAAAATATCTTAAAAATGCCCAAATTTTCATCCTAGGTCTTAAATTTTATTTACCCAAGTCTTAAAATTCTTACCTCCATTCATTCCCGAAAAGCGTTGTCCGCAGAAAATAAAATAGTAAAACGCTGTAAAACTAATCCGTTGGTTGTGTTTTCTGGTCTGCACCTATGGAAGCCCATTTCCGCCAGGTAGTAAAAAAAATATAAGCCACGGAATCTCGCAGTTGCGACTTAGTAAGTCACAATTCCGACTTTATATGTCGCAATTGCGACTTTATATCTCGCAATTGCGACTTAGTAAGTCAGAATTCCGACTTTATATCTCGCAATTGCGACTTAGTAAGTCAGAATTCCGACTTTATATCTCGCAATTGCGACTTAGTAAGTCACGATTCCGACTTTATATCTCGCAATTGCGACTTAGTAAGTCACAATTCCGACTTTATATCTCGCAATTGCGACTTTAAAAGTTAAGACTTCTGACTTCTCATGTCAGGTCTGTGACGTACAATCTTATTACTGCGGCTGTACATCTCGTGCACCACAGTATATTTGAAAGCTCAATAATTCACTTACGGCAAAAGACACCCACCGTACATGGTACAGTTACATACAGGTATAGTGCAACTCTCTGCTGATACGGTATATTCATGAAATTCACATTGTGCTAGCAAAAATGTATGTGAAAGAGCTGGATATACAATGTATTTGCATATTTGCCTGTAATTAATCAGAAAAAACTAACAGTAGGTCTGTACTTTCCTGGAAGTGTCGTCCGTTCATGCTAGGCAGCTTCAGCTATTTCAGCATACACATTGTACTTATGTGAATAAGGGCGGTGCCAGGACGATTCTGTGCCATCCAATGTGTCACCTATTCATGATGAAAACGTACATTTTCTTCAAAACAATTAATCAATCGAGTAATATGTACATACTCTCCAAAATACTGTATGTGATGAACACCGTCTTGAAATTAATGACTTTTTTACTTTCCACTTTATACCTCGGATATTCTATATGGTTATTAATGTTATATCCAAATTGTATGCGACTAAACCACAAACACTTTTCATTTAATTGTGTGGATACTTACAATTCTGTGATTCCGTGTCTACCAGATACTGTGAACATAAACATGTTTATGTTTGCTAAACATTATTAGACTACATGCTGCACAAATCTTGATAATGGACACAACTGAAAAATTTAGAAGCCCTTCATCCGGTCTTTTTAGCCGATGTCATAAAGAAGAATTCGTGAATGGTTAATCAAAGTTCCAGTTCATAGATTATTTTTATCTGTACAAAGTATGGTTTTATTTGGGTTTTTGCATCTTTTTGAGAAATTTGAAAAATTGTAATTAGGATAATTACATTCATTTTAAAATGGCCTCTACCCACCATCTCTGGGTTGAGACAAATGCTGATTTCTACAGAATTCAGACTGTATCACATCTACAAGCTTTGTTATTTGTAATATTTGTGTATGAAGCCTTTGCATTCAAGTTAATTGGGTTTTCTAGACTGTGATTTATTGAGCGGGGTGCTATACAGAGTTTAAATTGAGCCGGAGCGGAGCTCCCTTTGCTTCAGTATTTATAATAATATAATACTTTTATTGTAAGACCCGAAACACCCCGTGACCCCGGTTACATCACTGAAGATGTGTCCAGGTTGCACCACAAGGTGTATTCCAGTACTTATGCATTTTCATCTCCTTCTAAAAAATACCATCATATAAGACTTTGTGAATAATTATATAGACAACACTAAATTATAGTTATAGTGAATTCACCCACCAATGTTTTTTAAATTTTTTATTGGAATTAATTCTCATTGAATGCACATGCCCAGCAAACAGAAAGACGTTCTCTTTTGGTTCGGAATTTGTCCTCAAAGGATGAGTTCTGGGCATCCTGATTGGAACACTAATAAAAAAGAAATACTTAAGGTAAAATTATGCATTTAAAATGCTATTCTTGGAAGGTGTCATAACAACATGATTTTGAAGGATTTCTTCATTTTTCATACTAACATGGTCGTCCTTAGGACGTCCTGAAAAAGGGGACGTGTTGCGGACGTCCTAAGGACGTTCTCTGGGACACTGAGAAGACTTCTTTTTACTCCAGATTTGTCAAATTCAAGTCAGTGGGCTGAGATCTATGTGCATCTCATAATCTACAAATTTCTTGACACTGTTGGCCATCGTTGTATATCCTGCACTACTTCTATACTTTTATACATGCTTATGGAGACTGGACAATAATAACCTACAGTAAGTGCTTACTAATATGTACAAGACCACTGTCCTATCCTAGACCACTGTTGCAGAATGGAAGACCTCATTGATTTCCTCAGGGAGAGAGACATTCCAGAGGCCACCATAGAAAGACTGAAGGAAGAAAAGGTAGTTATCAGAATGAATGTGTTTGTTTATTATAACTATATGTGCAATAGCTCAAATTACCCTGCTTTAAATATTAACAGAACATACGGTACTGTGAACAGTCAGACACCCCACCTCTCCAGGAGGTTCCGGGAGTCTCCTGAAAATGGACAGCAGCTCCCTGACACCCGCAAATGATGGACAATGTTCCAGAAATCTGTTCTGCTAATCAGCAGTGGTAAAAGTAGCCGGCAATAAGTTTTACCGCTGCNGGCGTGCGTCTTTTGCGACACGTCTGTTTATAAACACGGAATCCGCTGTTTGTAAACGGTCCGCATTTTACCCTCACCCATTTAACGCAGAGAAAATTCAGCTTGGAACACTACAACTCTTGATTTTTAGATTTTGGAAAGCATACCAATTATTGCAACGATAATACAATCTGATTTTTTTGCTTTATGGTGTTTTATAGCATTTGATCGAAGGTAAGTTTCTTTTCAGATTATGTAATGGAAACAGCTATGTCGGTGTGCCGCAACCAGAAGGTAGGCGTGGGAAGGCGTTGAGAAAACAAGGGGCTTTAATTATCTAACCCAATTGAAGCCTATCACTTTTTGAGCATTTTTGAGCATTTAGGCTCATTACATGGTACGTACATGAGTTAGTCACATATGATTTATGTTTTTGTTTTCAGGACACTCTGGGCTACACAGACATGACATCATTTGATGTGTAAATGCCATGCAGTACGTACGAGGTGGATACAATGTACGGCATTGGTATCCTTTTTATAAGGAAAAACTACTATTCGTCGAATATAAAGATTTACAGGAACTACAAATGTTATAAATGTTGAGATTAGAGTATCGATGATGTGGGAAGGCAGAGTTTTCATTGGAGACCTTCCTATGGCTTAATTAGTATTTTGAAGGAATAATGGTTAGTGCCAGGCGGAAATTAATATCTTTGATTTTGAATCCCTTTGGTACAGTAACTTGTTGAAGTAACCTGATAGACAGTAATGCATGGTTTTATATATTTTTTTATTTATTACTTCATATCATCTGAAAGAAATTGAAATAGCATTTTAAGTTAATGATCCACTGGCTAAACATGGACAGACGGTTTTAGAGTCTAGTGTTTAATGTCTACCGAAATCGTTTATCCGTCTGTATTCGCTATGATTAGTAAAGTGAAATTTGAGAATTTTCACGCGCCCATCATTTTAGCAAACAACAAACCAACGCTGTAGCACGTCATTGTGTTTACACGGTGGGCGCGTTCTATTTCAACTGTTGATGGAGCTCGACATCAAACATATACGTATACTATTAAACCATTGTGAACAATTTTTGCGAAAATATCAAGTAATTATCTTCCCAATAAAAAGAATGCTGCATTTTGTTGTTATTTCTAGTTGAACACCAGCCCATATATTTAGGCTATAGGGTTATAACACATAAATTATGAAATTAATATTTTTTTTCCCCAGAAGAGTATAGTGTGTGGATCAATGCGGAAACAAATATATGCCCTTTGTTTTCGCCTAATGTGAATAATATCGATGTTTGATGGAATGTTAAGTGTGCGTTTTGGTGGAAAATGTAAAACATATGCCTCGTCGCGCACAGGATCACTCTGTAATTTGGACAACACCGGATCGTGTAATTTTTCTCGATTCCAAAGATTTGCCATTGATGTATGCGCGTTATACCTGCCTCAAATGAATAGGTGCCGTAACGCTGTCCGGATTAAAATCTCAGGACACAGCCTCAAAAACAGCACAGGAACTGTGCACTCTATGCGGTGCTCCCACAGGAGTAGGTTAATTACAGTCGTCCAGCAATTAGCCCGACATTCACGTACAAAGTTAGAGCAGATCGAGTGACCTACCCTAGTGAAAAAAAAATATGCTAAGTATAATCCAGGCCAGGGACTTCTTATTCCAGCCTGCCCCTTATTTGCTGTATGGGTGATTCTAACGAAGTTTTAGTAAACATGTCCAAGTTATATTTTACAGAAACATTTTATTATTATTACTTATGATATCACACCCTGCCCCTCCTGCAGCCTGTTCTGGTCCTAAGGATGTCTAGTGGACCTATTATGGACTTTTTAAGTACATTATCAGGAACCATTTTAGATATTCTGAGAAAATTTAAAGGACGTTCTGAGAACGTATTATGGACATTCAACCCATGCTGTCAATCCTTCAAAAATTCTTTATGATGGCTTGTGGGAATGGCAATTAAATATATGTTCTGGGGATTATTAGTGTCATCACATGGCTCTGTCCTCTACTTAATTACTCCCAGCTGTTTTGTGTTAGGGCCAGTGTTCCCCATTTATATAAATGCTCCCTAGGCCTGTGCTCGCTAGTCTGGTCATTGTGACTTGTCCATGCCTCTGTGCTTGTGCTGTCTTCCTGAATAAACTCCCCTACGTGGGGTTTCACCTGCAAAAATGCTATATTGTGGTCCCTTCCCTGTGTACTGTACATGACAGATACTGTATTTTCTCTAAAGGAAGTGAATGGTACTACAGGGATAAATGTTTTAAAATCTATTTTGCATAATGTTTGTAATTATTAAACAAAATATCCTGGTGAATTCTCATTATCGAAATGTGTCTGGATCAATTATTCTATTGTCCTTTTTAATTCTCTAAAAAGTCCTGTTTGTATAGAAAAAAGAACATAATGAAGTGTCAAATAAAATTGTGTATATTTATGATTGATAGCGATATTTTTGGTATTTAACAAAAAATGTATTATAATGAAAATTATTATGTCTGCACTATATTTTCATGCTTCATCTGTCTATTAAAACTACACTGTCCTTTGATAAACAGTCCCATAATGCATCACTTGAAATAGAAGATTCAAATGCACACAAGTTGCACTATTTTCTCTCACCTTATGAAATTTTTGTAAATAACAATGAATCTCCCTACTGTCAGTTATCATTACCAATATGTGGTGATAATCTTTACTTTTAAAAATATATAACTTTCTTGTGATGGAAAAGGTACAGTAATAAAAGACTTAGACATGTAGCAGAGGTAGAGGTTATTTGCTAACTTAGCTAAGAGCATCTCATTACCATAACTCATTTCTCATTACCATGTAAGGCTCATATCAGTAATGAGAAGTTGTGTTGCGGTAATGTGATCTAAATACTCATAAATGAAGAGTTAGTAGTTCTTTTAATCACTATTTCTAAAAATTATTATATTAACTTAAAAAAATTATTTGCTATTTATTAACTATGTACTTTATGAATATAGTATGTAATACATTAATTTTTACAGTTTATTAGTTATTGCTGTACAGAGACATTACTGCTGCTTGGCAAAGAGACATTTGGGTAAGATGACTTGTGGCACACATTATGATGACATTAATAAATCAGAGTTGAACCTCTATAACTACCATTGTCCAACTGATATAAAACTTTTTAAAATGCTAATTTATTCCTGCATAAATGAACAAAAAACATAATATTTGAAATGGTGTCCTTAACATGTAGATTGTTGCTGAGCAGTAGGTGGTGGATACAATGTACAATAGTATGTGAAATAGTTATGTTCTTTTTACCCTAATGAGCTATTCTATTAGGTGAAATGACATCTTTCACATTACCATAACATAAAATCTCATCCTCCATAATGGATTTTTCAGTACCATTATGCATGTAAATAAACTGATATTTTAATATTTTTATTTTTCAAAGAAATTCATTTATTATAATATGTTCTTAACTGCTTCACGTGTGTTCTATAAACTATTTGTTAAAAAAGGGCTCAAATAACCTCTGTAATATAAAAACTATATAAAACACTACTTTTGATGCGTTTGTGCTGTTCATATAATGTAGCCATTTGGGTAAATTCAGCAAAAAAGATATTTTAAATCTGTGGTCTGCTTTGTTTATTGACCATATCGGTAATGAGAGTTATTCTGGATCATGAAACTATGACATGAAAATAAAAATGAATTAATATGTTTTCCCATGGAGCTTTTCTAAAATCAAGGTTTGCACTCTGTTTTTGTCCCTGGGGTTAAAAAATCTGTCAAATTGTGCTGACTATATTTTGATGTCACTTTCATACAGTTTGTGAGAATCACCTGTATATGCAAAGAAAAAAAAAATCCTCTAGGTAGAGGCGAACCATTCACTACTTGCAAAAAAAAACCCTCTCGTGCACCTTACATGCTACACTTGACCTAGCCTTAGAGCGACAGTAAAGTAAAACAGTGCAAAAATCAATGCATTATGCATTTGTCGGGTTCTAACCGTTGAACCAAAACAGGAGCAGGGAAACAAACCAGACCACAAAGGGTGAAAAAAGGAGGCATTACAAGAGGAAATGGCATTAATGACTGTGAATGAAAGGCTTCTGAAGCACTTAAATAGGGGAGACCAGGGATGATTGCAACATGGGTTAGTTGTAACAAAGTCTGTTTCTCAAATCAGGAATGAGGTATAAATCACATAACTCACTCTGCACATACTAAGTTTAGTCCTTATTTTACATGTGAAGAAGGAGCACCTTGTAACAAACACACTCAGATTTGTAAGGAAAAAAGAAATTTGAGGTAAGAAAGTAATTTTTTTGACTTCATTTATTTTTGTGATAGCACATCAGGATTTGTACTTACATTATTCAAACTTGTTTATTCAAAAACTATTTTTAAATCTTTTTTTTTAATGTAAATATTAGGTGTCACGCCCAGCTCCGTCCGATCCTCGTGTGTGCCACGCCCACCTCGTTACCTCGTGTTAATCCCTGATTGTCATCACCTGTTTCCTGTTCCTTTTGAATTGTCCTGTGTATATTAGTCCACGTATGCCACTATCTTCCAGATCGGTCATTGATGTCGTCGTGTCTCGTGCTTGTTGTGCCTAGTGTGCCTTCTGTCCAGCCAATAAACCCCGCTTACCCGTCCGCTTTGCTCTACTCACCTGTTTTCCTGCTTGCCTGCTCCGCGTAACGTAGCAGAATGACCGATCTCACGAAAGAATCACTGCAGCAGGAAGAGGACCCATGGCTACTCCTGCTGCACGAGGTGAGCGAGCAGCCGGAGGTCCGAGAAGACCCCGGCTTATTGGTCCTGGCCAACCAGAGTTGGACCCTCCTACAAGAGGTTACCCCGCTCAACGAAGTGCACTCACTGGCGGAAGTGCGCTCCAACCTTCAGCAGCTCGTCGGCACGGTGACAGAAAAGCGGCTCCAGCCGCTCGCCTGCACAGAGGCAACCCCGCCTCCACCTACCTGTCCCGGCCGGCGAAAGAAGAAAAGGCTCTGCCCGCGGTCCTGCCTGCTGCTGCCACTATGCCCGTCTCGCCCATCCTGTCTGCCTTGCCCTGTCTGCCTTCAGCTGCGCCCGAGGCGCCTGCTATGGCCCTGCCTCCGCCCATGCCTGAGGTCCTGCCCATCTCGCCGGCTCGGCCCATCTTGCCTGCAGCCTGCCTGCTAGTCCCGTCTGTCTCGCCCGCAGCCCGCCTGCCTGCAGTGGTCTTGCCTGAGGTCCCTACGCCCGCTGTCCCGGCTCCGCCCGTCTCTGCTCCGCCCGAGGCTCCTAGGCCTCCGCCTCCTGCTCCGCCCGAGGCCCCGACACTAACCCCTGAAATCTCTGTCCCCGAGGAGGTCCCGGACTGTATTACCATCGCTCCTCCTCCCTTTCTGGTTTGTCTGTCTGCGTTTCCTGTCCTTTGTCAGGTCATGTCATGGTTTTTGCCCCTGTGCCTGTTCTGTGTTTCAGTCCTGTTTCCAGTGCCCCTTTGATGGTCTTGTTTTGTCTTCCAGGTCCTGTTCCCCTGGTCTCGTCCGCCCCTTCCCTTGGGCGCGCCAAGAGTGCGCGGCTTTTGGGGGGGGGGGGGGGGGGGTTCTGTCATGATCACCCATTCAGCCCTTGTGTGGACCACGCCCCCTCATTATCCACGTGTACTACCCTGATTGTTCCCGGCTGTTTGATGTTAGTTTTGATCTGTTTAGTATATCAGTCCACGTCTGCCTCTGTTTCCCAGATCTGTCATTGACGTTCGTCCTGTGCTGTTTTCTGTGCGTCCAAATGAACCCGATTTACCCGTATTTAGAGCTCCGTTCGTCTGCTTCCCCACTTCCTGCTTGTTCGCTTGTGCATCGGCGTAACAGTATTTTTAGTATATGCTGTACATCATACATATTTTAACCAATGCAAGTTATAAAAGTTGATAATGTAATAAGTGGCCAATAACGTAATACCTTTTCTGAAATAATAACTCAACATGTGTTGTGTTGCTATATATTCTGATTACTTATTGTGCTTGACGCCTGTTGCACTTTGACCTTTGATTTTACTTAACCCTTCTTGGATTTGGTTACTTTGGATTTTTAAATAGCCTGTAAATATTGTGTCCACTGTGAGTAGCTGGGGAAGTAGGCAGTACGGTGCATTTTTGTCTTGATAAATTTTTTCAGTGTTTCAGGGCTAGTTAGGAAGATAGACAAGTTTTGTGTGCTTTTATTTTCTTTTTATTTAGGTTAGGTAAAGGAGTACCTTTTTCCAGTTAGAGGTGTTTATACACTGCTCAAAAAAATTAAAGGAACGCTTTGAAAACACATCAGATCTCAATGGGGGAAAAAATCATGCTGTA